GCTCGCTGTCGTCTAGACTACGCTGCTAGTCTTGTTGCTGAGTCTGCGTCTATCTGTCCTCCGTCCGTCGGGGGTCTCAGAATCCCAACCACTAGACCATTGGGATAAAAGGGCTTGTTTCAGTAGCGGGTCAGTGCGCCCATAACCTCCCAGGCAAACGTGCCTGTAACCCTTCCCTAGGATCGATCAGGGATCACCAGTGGACCATGACACCCCCCCGCACTGGGATGCCCGAAGTGCATACACCGGGATTCGAACCCGAGACCTTCGCTCTGGATACCATCTCAGAATCCCAACCACTAGACCATTGGGATAAAAGGGCTTGTTTCAGTAGCGGGTCAGTGCGCCCATAACCCCCCAGGCAAACGTGCCTGTAACCCTTCCCTAGGATCGATCGGGGATCACCAGTGGACCTCTGACAGGGGGTGAGTGTGCTCTTGGCACGGACGTCCTAGAGGACAGGCAGGAGGAGTTCCAGTGTCTGGCTGCTGCTTCACCTCATCTCGCGTCTGTACTGCTTGCTCCTGAGGGAGACCCGGATGCACTAGACATCCCGACTCCGCGCTCTTACGCGGAGGCCGTAGAGGGTCCCTACTCCTCTCAGTGGCAGGCAGCTATGGATGCAGAGATGGCTTCCTGGAAGTCCACAGGCACCTACGTTGACGCGGTTCCCCCTCCTGGGGCGAACATCGTTAGTGGCATGTGGATCTTCAGGGTGAAGCGGCCGCCGGGCTCTCCACCTGTCTTCAAGGCGCGGTACGTCGCTCGTGGCTTCAGTCAGCGGTAGGGAGTTGACTACTTTCAGACCTTCTCTCCCACCCCGAAGATGACCACTCTTCGGGTGCTGCTGCACATAGCCGCTCAGCGCGACTACGAGCTTCACTCTCTCGACTTCAGTACTGCGTTCTTGCAGGGGAGCCTGCACGAGGAGATCTGGCTGCGCCGTCCACCTGGCTTCACTGGGACTTTCCCTCCTGGCACCCAGTGGAGCCTCCGACGGCCAGTCTACGGTCTCCGCCAGGCACCACGTGAGTGGCACGACACACTGAGGACTACGCTTGCGGCCCTTGGGTTTGCTCCTTCTACTGCTGACCCGTCGCTGTTTCTGCGCACCGACACTTCACTGCCGCCGTTCTACATCCTCGTGTACGTCGACGACTTGGTCTTTGCCACAGCGGACACTGCTGGACTCGCCTACGTGAAGTCCGAGCTGCTGAAGAGACACACGTGCACAGACCTGGGTGAACTGCGCAGCTACCTTGGCTTGCAGATCACTCGGGACAGAGCACGCCGCACCATTACCTTGACTCAGTCACACATGGTGCAGCAGGTCCTTCAGCGCTTCGGCTTCACGTACTCCTCGCCTCAGGCCACTCCTCTGTCTACTCGCCACTCGCTCTCAGCTCTGCCTTCGGATGAGTCCGTAGAGTTGAGTGGCCCGTACCCAGAGCTTGTTGGCTGCCTCATGTACCTGATGACCTGCACACGACCTGACCTTGCATACCCTCTTAGCATTCTTGCACGCTATGTTGCTCCTGGGAGACACCGACCAGAGCACATGGCTGCAGCGAAGAGGGTATTGCGCTACCTGTGCAGTACGTCGGGCATGGGGCTAGTGCTTGGAGGGCGGAGTCCAGTGGTACTTACAGGTCACGCGGACGCTTCTTGGGCTGACGACCAGGCTACGCAGCGGTCGTCACAGGGTTACACCTTCAGCCTTGGCTCCGGCTCTGTCTCGTGGCGGGCTACTCGCTCGTCTTCGGTTCTCAGCTCAAGTTGTGAGGCTGAGATCTACGCAGGGGCCATGGCTGCACAGGAGCTTCGCTGGCTCACCTACCTGCTGACTGACCTTGGAGAGCCGCCTCGTTCTCCTCCAGTGCTGTACGTAGACAACAAGGCCATGCTGGCCTTGTGTCGAGAGCAGCGTCTGGAGCACAGAACGAAGCACATTGCTCTTCGCTACTTCCTTGCTCGTGAGCTACAGCAGCGTGGACAGTTGCGGCTTGCGTACGTGGCCTCTGAGGCCAACACTGCTGATGTGTTCACCAAGGCATTCGCGCCTTGTGACCATCAGCGCTTCTGCACCCAGCTGGGTCTTGTGCCTGTCTTGCCTCACTTCCTCTCCTCTTGACTTTACTTGTACTGTCACATATATATACCTGCTCTTGCTTGTCTAGCTTTATATATATATGTGTGTACTACTGCATGTGAACTGGCCTTGTGGCCTTGCTCTTGTGCTCGGACTGTGTGGTGACTTTGTGATCCACCCTGAGCTTTGCTTTGCTTTGCTTGACTGGTCTTGTGACCCCTTGTTCTCCCCCACTTTGCCTATGGGGGTGTGTCAGAACATATATGTAGCTTATGCTGTTGTGTAGGCTACAGTGGGGTATCCCATAAGGGATACAACCCAATTAGGGTTTTGCCATTTTTGTACCCAACTCTTTCATAGTGCATTCATTCTCGTTCTATTTTCCACATTAATGCCTTTGTGTTTTGACACGATAGAGGCGCTTAAGATCGATTATTTCCAACAGAAACTCCCGCCAAAACAAAATGAGACCCAAAAAGAACCTGGATGCATTTTCGGATGACAAACCCTAAACACGTAACTCGCCAGGTGTTTAGGGTTGATCCGTTCCCAAACCGCAACCGATTCCGATTGGGTTTTAGTTTTTTGACAAGTTCGCAGATTGGTTGGGCACGAGCGGGAATTTTCTTGAGTTTCAAGTTTTTTTTGGCGGGAGTTACATGTGTGACCATTCGCGTGATTTTTTACCTGTTGTTAGTGACTGAATCCGTGACCCCGCTTACCAAACCCGTCAGAAAACCTGATACAGTGACCGTACGCGTTTTGTTTTTACCATTCAAGTTATCAGTCCCAAGTTGGTTACTTGTGGCATATTTTCCCTTTATTATTTGAAGTGGTATAGCATTTCCTGGATGGTTCGTCAATTCAGCTCGCTGAGTCTGGTTTGGACAGGGCTGGAACCAGCCAATACCTGCGGGAAACCTGAATCTTTCGTTAGGTCAATGTAACGCTCAATACGACGCTGTGGCGAGAAAAATCAACTGCGAGTACGACAGAAAAGCTACCGATGCCCAATCACAGCAGCGACTTCCGTCGTACAGGGTAGCCGTCGGAGGAGGAAAACGGGGCGCCAGTGCGCCATGCCAAGAATGTAGCGTCGCAGCAGGGCTCAGCTCAATTCGCCTTGCTCACCTCACGTGCTCCTTGAGGCCGCTGCATGAATTGAGGGGAAGTACATGCCAGCTCCGTACCGTAGTTTGACTTGAAGCAGTTTCAGGGGGTGTCCAGCTCGTCCATTTACTGCTCGTAAAGCCCTTCAGTTACCACAATTTGCGTTGTAACACTGAGTTTTACAAAAATGCCAGACACGATCAGCTCCCGTTCACGATACGGCACACCCCCTACACGTACCTCGAATCGTGTGACGCACGTTACAGGAATCAGCGTGCGCATCAAACAATGGTACAGAACCGCGTCCTGCCCACTACAGTGAGTGCCCATCGTATCGCGCGCTTGATTTCGCATGCGCCGCCTGACACTCGCCAAAACCTTTAGTGGAAGTGTTGGCCTGGCGAAAATTCTAACGCTTTGGTTGAAGAGGGAACTGGTTACCTTGGTTGCCACACGGCCCCTGCACTGCTGAAGTCTGTGTGGGGGGGTGGTGTCCGTGCGCCAGAATGACAGAAAGGGTGGAGCAAGGCCGGTTCGTTTATAGGTACAGTGTTCAGTTTTGAACCCCGGATCGTGAGGAGGTACTAGATTTCCCGAAATGAACGAGCTGGACAGGCCCTCAGCAATCATTGCAGCCAGTCCTAGTACCAGCTAGTGAAGGCATATATGTTCCATTGCCAAGCGTGTCATTGTGTTCATCAACCAGTGTAACAGCTTCTTGTCCGAGTTTATTACTCTAGACATGCCACAGATTACCCTGACTTCATTACTCTAAATATACGTCAACTACAATTTCGCGTTCCCAGTTCCTCCAGCAGACACACGCAGAACTCACCGAGTCAAGCCACGAAATGTTCGTCAATTCAGCGAATCCGACAAGATTATCACCCTCCTTTTACCGCTTCGCGGCGAGTCGTCCACCTTCCGTCATCGCGTCGCGCCCGTCGCGCGGCATGGACGGCGATGATGGCGTTGCGTGCTGTGGGTGCTTCGGTGCGACGCCCTCGAAGCGCTCGGCTGTGCGCGGGAATGGCGCAGGTCGGTTATGGCCTGATTGCATGTAGCGAGATCTTTCTCACTAGTAGTGATGCGGCGAGCTCGGCGAGAGCTCTTCGTGGCGTGAGCCATAGTGCTACCGAAGATAAACCATTCCTGCGTTTCGAGGTTTTTTTTTTTTTTTTTTTTTTTTTTTTGCGTTTCTCGTGCCCCAGTTTGACCCTTTTTATCCCGTTGCACGTGGTGCTCGGGTGGAACACGAGTCCTTTGGGAAATTATGGTTTGCGAAACTCAGACATCTTGCTCGATCACACCCCAAGCGAGATGCAGCAGGCTCCGACTTCCACGTTTCCACGAAGTACAGAAAGCGTTACGACTGTTGGTTTGTCGTCGTAGTAGGTTCGCTGATAGCAGCAGGTTCCGACCCAAACGATGTGACTTCTGAGGTGACTTTTGAGGCGAATCAAAGGTCCCGACGCGAACAAAGCGAGCCTTCTCCGAAGCCTCAGAGTCAGATTTGTACCGTGAGACGTGGCGAGCCTCATAGCCTCAGAAGGAATCGTAGCGCGCGAGATGCGGCGAGCCACGTTTGCTGCAGCGCGTGAGACGCGTCGACACGGCGCGGTTGTAGTGAGTGAGACCCACCCAACAGCTGTTCCGGCTTTCTCTCCCGTCCTACGCTCACGCAACGAATTCTCCTCCCGTCTTTCCTCTTATAGCGAGAGCGGGATGCAGCAGGCGGCGGGGTATTCTCAAGCAAGCTGACTTGTGAGTCGACTCAAAAGTCAGGCAGCGGGGTATTCTCATGCACCCCTTTTGTGCAGCTAGGCCCCTCTCTCCTCCATGCCTTCTTTATCTCTTCCCTCTCCCCCAATCCAGTCCCTGTTTCCTCTTTTCCTCACCCCACCCCTCTCTTCCCAAACCCCTGTGTCCCCATCAGCGCACAGCCAGCCTTCCGCCTGCCCCCCTCCCCTGCGTCGTTCCTCCTACCGCATCTCTGCTGCTGGAGGGCCAAACTCTCTTCCTCTCCCCCTTTCTCCTCCCTCTCTTCTCCCTCTCTTCTCCCTCTCTCCTCCCTCTCTTCTCCCTCTCTTCTCCCTCTCTCCTCCCTCTCTTCTCCCTCTCTCCTCCCTCTCTTCTCCCTCTCTTCTCCCTCTCTTCTCCCTCTCTTCACACCCTACCCCCTTTACCCGATTGCCCAAACACGCCCCCTCCCACCTCCCTCCACCCCATCCCTTACTCTCCCCCTCTTTTCAACGCGGCCCTGCAGCTGGGTAAGGGCAGGGCCTTACTCTCCCCCTCTTTTCTCCCTCCCTCACATGCCTACCCCCTTAGCCCTCTCTGCAGCTGCGCAAGGCCCTTCCTCCAACCCTCATCCTCTGCGCTGCTTCTCCTATCGCGAGCTACAGCAGGCGGCTGGGTACTGGGCAACGCGTCCCTGCAGCTGGGCAAGGCAAGGGCCTTACTCTCCCCCACTCTCCCTCTTTTTTCTCCCTCCCAGCGGGGCAAGGGTCTTCCTCCAACCCTCCTCCCCTGCGCCGCTTCTCCTATCACGAGCTGCAGCAGGCGGCGGGCGGGGTACTTCAACGCGCCGACCCTGCAGCTGGGGAAGGCAAGGGCCTTACCCTCTCCCTCTCTTCTCCCTCCCGGCTGCAGCTGGGGAAGGCAAGGGCCTTACCCTCTCCCTCTCTTCTCCCTCCCGGCTGCAGCTGGGGAAGGCAAGGGCCTTACCCTCTCCCTCTCTTCTCCCTCCCGGCTGCAGCTGGGGAAGGCAAGGGCCTTACCCTCTCCCTCTCTTCTCCCTCCCGGCTGCAGCTGGGGAAGGCAAGGGCCTTACCCTCTCCCTCTCTTCTCCCTCCCGGCTGCAGCAGCGGGGCAATGGCCTTCCTCCGGCCCGCCTCCTCTGCGGCGCTTCTCCTACCGCGAGCAACAGCAGGCAGCGGGGTACTCCAACGAGTCTTTGCAGCTGGGCGCTCTCACCTTTTTCCACACACAACCCAACCCTCCTTCCCCCCCCTTCTGTGTCACCCCTCAGCACACGGCCAGCCTTCCTCCGGCCCTCCTCCTCTGCGGCGCTTCTCCTACCGCGAGCTACAGCAGGCAGCGGGGTATTTCAATGCATCCCTGCAGCTGGGCAAGGGCAGCTTCGGGACTATTTTTCGCGGGCAGGTGGACGAGTGGTTGGGAGAGCTGCCACGTGGCAGCAAGAGAGAGGTAGCAGTGAAGGTGCTTCACACGGAAAGCGTCAAGGCGTTTGACGACTGCCTGGTGAGGGAGGGAGGGGACAGAAGGGGAGAGGAGGGGAGCATGGGCTTGGGGTAAGGAGAGGTGTGGCAGTGAAGGTGCGTGCTTCACACAGCGAGCATCAAGGCGTTTGATGACTGCCTGGTGAGAGGCGAGGCGTGGGGGGGGGGGTTGAGGATGAGCGAGAATGGAGTGATGGGCGTGGGGGAATGGAAGAGGTGGTGGTGAAGGTGCTTCATGCGGAGAGCGTGAAGGCGTTTGACGACTGCGTGGTGAGGGGAGAGAGTGTAATGAGTGATTGGGTAGGGAGGGAGGAATGAGGCAACGGAGGGATGTGCTTGGAGGTGTGGGTGGCGGTGAAAGTGCTTCACACGGAGCGCGTGAAGGCGTTTGACGACTGCCTGGTGAGAGGCAGGCGGGGGAAGGCGTTAGGAGAGTGAGTTACAGGGTGGGGGAGAGGGGGGGAGAGGGAAGAGGATGGGTTTGAGAAGATGGGATGAGAGAGAGGTGGCGGGGCAGTGAAGGTGCTTCACACTGACAGCGTGAAGGCGTTTGACGATTGCCTGGTGAGCCACTGAGAAAGGAGGAGTGAGAAAAGGGGTGAGGAAAGGGACATGGAACGGAGTGAGTAAGTAGGGAGGAGTGAGGAACGTGTGAGTTAGTATTTTGTCTATTTTGCGGGGCAGAAGGGAAGAGAATGGGGAAGGGGGGGAGGGAGAGGAAGGGAAGGGGATGTGCTTGAGGGAATGGGAGGGGTTGCTGTGTGAAGGTGCTTCACACTGACAGCATGAAGGCGTTTGACGATTACCTGGTGAGATGCCAGGCCAGGCAAAGGCGAGGCCAGGCAAAGGCGAGGCCAGGCAAAAGCGAGGCCAGGCAAAGGCGAGGCCAGGCAAAGGCGAGGCCAGGCAAAGGCGAGGCCAGGCAAAGGCGAGGCCAGGCAAAGGCGAGGCCAGGCAAAGGCGAGGCCAGGCAAAGGCGAGGCCAGGCAAAGGCGAGGCCAGGCAAAGGCGAGGCCAGGCAAAGGCGAGGCCAGGCAAAGGCGAGGCCAGGCAAAGGCGAGGCCAGGCAAAGGCGAGGCCAGGCAAAGGCGAGGCCAGGCAAAGGCGAGGCCAGGCAAAGGCGAGGCCAGGCAAAGGCGAGGCCAGGCAAAGGAGTCATTGAGTCGAAAGGTGATCACATATAATCTATCCCCCCACCCACCCACCCTACTGCCCATTTCACGTGTCCCCTTCAGTCCCTAAGGTTGTATCCCTCGCTAGTGTCAACATACTGTTGGTGCCAAGCGGGAAATTCGCTTGACACCAGGTGGAGCTGCGCTCATGCGCGGCTCCAGGTTGGTGCCAATGTTGCCAACATTGTGCCAACTTCCCGAGCCATCCCAAGCTGACACCAGGAGGTTTAGTCCTCCATGCGTTTTCCGAGTTTGTGTCTTGACACTAACCACTCTTGACACTAGCCAGGGATACGATCTAAATACCCCAATCAGGTGCACCTGTTATCCCTAGATACTGCATGTGAGGTGGCAATGGTGCACTTCTCTCCCCCCATTCTGCGTCCTTCACCCCACAGGTGCAGATCCTCCTCATGCTGGGAATCCTTAAACCACCCCAACCTGCTGCAGCTGCTTCTCCTACTCATCCCCACACCGTTTCGCCCCCCCCTACCATGCGTTCTTCACTGCACACGCGGAGATCCTAGTGCTGGGCAATCTGCGACACCCCAACCTGGTGCAGCTGTTGGGGTACTGCATGGAGGACTGCAGTGCTGCGCTCCTCTCCCTCACACCCCCATTTCTATTCCTTTCCTCTCCAACACGCATACCCATTCCTCTCCCTCTCCCCCCACCACAGGCGGAGATCCTAGTGCTGGGCGATCTGAGACACCCCAACCTGGTGCAGCTGTTGGGGTACTGCATGGAGGACAGCCGGGCGATTCTGGTGTATGAGCTGGTGGAGCGAGGCGACCTGCACCACTGGCTGCACCCCAACAGTGAGTGAGAGGACGAAGAGGGCGGTGGGAGGGATTGCATATCTTCTAAGACGATGCATGTCTTCAGCACCCGGGAATAAAAAAAAGATAAGGAAAAAAAAAAACATAGAGAGCAAAATTGCATGTGCCAGCCGGGAATCGAACCCGGGTCTGCACCGAGCTCATGGCAGGGTGCTATTCTACCACTAGACCACTGGCACGCTTTTGGATGCATGATGACGTTATGGTATGATCGTACAACATGCACTGGCTCTTTGACGTTGCATCTGAGAGACTTCTTGGGTGGTGTGTGCACGTCCTTCCCCTTGGGTTAGGAATTGCACGTCCGACCAATTCCTAACTACCTCTTTTCGTCCCCTTCCCCGCCCTCCCCCACCCTTGTCAATCCTCCCCACCACACTCACCACTGCCCCAGACCTCTCTCCGGACAGCCCGTGCCTGACGTGGGAGCAGCCCTCGAAAGTGGCAGGTGGGTATGAGCGAGGCCTTGCGTTTGGCGTATCCGATGTCAACAAATTTCCCCTTCCTTGTTTCCCCTCCACCTCAACTTTCCTGGACAGCCCGTGCCTGACATGGGAACAGCGAGCGCAGGTGCCAGAGAGTGTGGTGGAGGGCATGGCACATCACATTTGCTTCTAGCCAAATCCAACTGCCATCCTTCCCCAACCCCTCTCCTCCCACCCATCTTATCAATCCCTTCTTCGTCACCCAAGACCTCTCCCCGGACAGCCCGTGCCTGACATGGGAGCAGCGCGTGCACGTGGCAGTGGGCATGGCGGAGGGCATGGCATATCTGCACGGGCAGAACATCATTCACCGCGACTTCAAGTCCCATAATGTCATGCTGGACCATGTAAGTTGTAGGGGGGTGTAGGTGAGTTTTGAAGGGAAACCACCCGTGAAATTGGCTAAGCTTTTCAGGTCCATACTTTGTCTCTGGGTGATGTAAGTGGGAGGAAAAGTTGCTGGGGAGAACGCAGTGTGCGGTACCGTTTGTGGGATGGTAAATACCTTACTACGAGTAGTGTGCCTTTATATGTGCGGGGGGTCTCTACATGGGCATTCATAGGGCTACATTGTAATGGGCATCTCTTGAGTCAACTGCAATGACACATCGTTACTTTTGAGTCGACTTAAAATTGTCCACCAGCTTTACCACCAGCCTTAGCATGGCAGGCAACATGGGGTCTGAAGGAAACTTTTGAGGCGCCTCAAAAGGCAACATGGGGTCTGAAGGAAACTTTTGAGGCGCCTCAAAAGGCAACATGGGGTCTGAAGGAAACTTTTGAGGCGCCTCAAAAGGCAACATGGGGTCTGAAGGAAACTTTTGAGGCGCCTCAAAAGGCAACATGGGGTCTGAAGGAAACTTTTGAGGCGCCTCAAAAGGCAACATGGGGTCTGAAGGAAACTTTTGAGGCGCCTCAAAAGGCAACATGGGGTCTGAAGGAAACTGAGACTCAGCATCTGCTGCACAGCTTCCGCCCTTTCCCTCCCTTCATATCTAATTTGGCAGGAGTTGAAAGCGAAGGTGGCGGATTTCGGCATGGCCACATAAATAGCTTAAATTCCACCTTAATCACCCCCTCCCTCCCCCCCCCCGCCCCCCCCCCGCCCCCGCCCCCTCCTCCCATCTCCCCTCCCATATCTATCTTGGCAGGAATTAAGGGCAAAGGTAACCGATTTTGGCATGGCTACACGGGGACCGGAGGAGGGGAAGACGCACGTTTCGACTCGCATCATGGGCACCCTGGGGTACCTCGACCCTGACTACATCTACACAGGTGGGGAGGGATTCAGTGCGGTGCAGTGCGGTGCAGATGGATTAAGATGGATTGTGGGGTAGTGAGCGGCAAGACGCACGTGTCAACTCGCATCATGGGCACCCTACTTCGACCCTGACTATATCGATACAGGTGTGGAGGCTTGTAACGAGGATATGACTTGTGCGTGTGGGGTATGGAGGGGAGGAGGGCGTGAGGCACGTATCGACTCGCATCATGGGTACCCTGGGCTAGGGTACCTTGACCCTGATTATTTCGGCACAGGTGGGGAGGCCTGTAAATTGTTTGTGGTCCTTGTTGTTCGGGTATCACCACTACACACAACCGCCCCTTCCTCCCCCACTTCCTCTCCACTGCACACAACCGCTCTTCCCTCCCGCACTTCCCCTCCACTACCCGCAACTGCCTCTTTCCTCCCTGAATCCCCATCCCCCCTTCCTCGTCCCCTCTCCCACCTCTCCCTCTTCTCCCTTCGTCTCCCCGTCCCCTCACGTGCATCAACCCACTCATCCTCCCCCACCACCCCCAGGTCACCTCACCCCCCTGAGCGATGTGTTCTCCCTGGGTGTGGTTCTGCTCGACCTGCTCACCGGTTGAGGTGACTTGACTCTAGAGGCACTTCACCCCTCCTCCCCCCCCCCCCACCCCACTCAGGTCACCTCACCCCCCTGAGCGATGTCTTCTCCCTCAGGGTATTGTTCTGCTCACTGTACCCCTCCTCTCCCCTCCTCTCCCCTTCTTGTGTTCTTGTGCCTCTCCTCCGCGAGTCACCCCCCTATCCCCTCTTCCCCACCCCCACGTCACCTCACCCCGCTGAGCGATGTCTTCTCTCTGGGCGTGGTTCTCCTCGAGCTGCTCACCTGCTCCCGCTCCCCCTTTTTCTCACCCCCTCCTGTGCGTCACCGCCCCTCCAGGCCACCTCACCCTGCTGAGCGATGTCTTCTCTCTGGGCGTGGTTCTCCTCGAGCTGCTCACCTGCTCCCGCTCCCCCTTTTTCTCACCCCCTCCTGTGCGTCACCGTCCCTCCAGGCCACCTCACCCCGCTGAGCGATGTCTTCTCTCTGGGCGTGGTTCTCCTCGAGCTGCTCACCTGCTCCCGCTCCCCCTTTTTCTCACCCTCTCCTGTGCGTCACCGCCCCTCCAGGCCACCTCACCCCGCTGAGCGATGTCTTCTCTCTGGGCGTGGTTCTCCTCGAGCTGCTCACCTGCTCCCGCTCCCCCTTTTTCTCACCCCCTCCTGTGCGTCACCGCCCCTCCAGGCCACCTCACCCCGCTGAGCGATGTCTTCTCTCTGGGCGTGGTTCTCCTCGAGCTGCTCACCTGCTCCCGCTCCCCCTTTTTCTCACCCCCTCCTGTGCGTCACCGCCCCTCCAGGCCACCTCACCCCGCTGAGCGATGTCTTCTCTCTGGGCGTGGTTCTCCTCGAGCTGCTCACCTGCTCCCGCTCCCCCTTTTTCTCACCCTCTCCTGTGCGTCACCGCCCCTCCAGGCCACCTCACCCCCGCTGAGCGATGTCTTCTCTCTGGGCGTCGTGCTGCTCGAGCTGCTCACCGGCCAGTTCCCCACCACTGCTGCCACCCACAACCGCCTCTTCTTCCCCTCCACTACGCACACCCATCCCATCCCCCCCCCTCTCTCCTGGCCACCTCACCCCCCTAATCAATGTCTTCTCCCTGGGCGTTGTTCTCCTCAAGTCGCTCACCGCTCCCTGCATGCTTCACCCCCTCAACCCCTCCCCACTCTCAGGTCACCTCACCCTGCTCAGCAATGTCTTCTATCTGGGCGTAGTGCTTCTCACCCACTCCCACTTCCCCTCCTTGTCACCCTCTCCCATGCATCGCCAACCACCAGGTCACCTCACCCCGCTCAGCGATGTCTTCTCTCTGGGCGTGGTCCTCCTCGAGCTGCTCACCGGCCGATCCCCTGCCACCACCGCCACACACAACCGCCTCTTCCCCTGGATCCACAAGCAGCTGGCGCGAGGTAGAAAAGGGGGGGGAGGGGGAGACTCAGCATCAGCAGCAGCGGCAGCAGCAGAAGCGGGAGGAGCGGGTAATGAAGGGCAACAGCAACAGCAGCAGGGGCAGCAGCAGGAGGGGAGGAAGGCGGATGGGTTTCATATAAGCCAAGTGGTGGATCCACGGCTGAAGGGGCAGTTCTCAGCGGGTGCAGCGAAGAAGCTGCTGCTGGTGGCGCTGCAATGCAGTCAAGAGGAGCCCAGCAAGCGACCCGACATGAACCATGTTGTGGAGAGGTTAAGGGAGATCGCTGCCTCTGGGGTGGGGAAAGGAGGGGCGCGAAGGGTGGAAGGAGGAGGAGCAGGAGTGCAAGGGATGGCAGGCGGAGTGGCAGTAGTGGCAGCGGTAGGAGTTTAATTATAGGTAACGGGCAGTTTTCGGCTGGAAGAGGCTGCTGCTGGTGGCGCTGCAGTGCAGCCAGGAGGAGCTGAGCAAGTGGCCTGAGATGAACCGTTTGGTGCAGAGACTGAGGGAGATTGCTGCTGCAGGTGGGGCGCAAAGAGTGGAAGGGGGAGGAACAGAAGGCGCAGGAGTGGAAGGGGTGGCAGTGGCAGGGGTAGGAGTGTAGATGTAGGAAACGGGCAGTATACAGCGACTGCAGCGAAGGGTTGCTGCTGGTGGCTCTGCAGTGCAGCCAAGAGGAGCCGAGAAGTGATTGAGGGAGATCGCTGCTGCTGGGGGAGGAGCAGGATTGCAAAGGGTAGGAGGGGAAGAAGCAGGAGGGTAAGAAATAGGAGGACGAGTAGGGCAAGGGATGGCAGCGGAGGGGGAGGGGGTAGTGCCTGGGGCAGGGAAAAGGATGGCGGGGGTAGGAGTGTAGGTGTAGAAACTAGCTTTGGCTACCACAAGGAGGTCAGCATCAGCCCTCCCATGCGGAGGTGAGGTGGCACTGCAGTCACGTGGCACTGCAGTCACGTGGCACTGCAGTCACGTGGCACTGCAGTCACGTGACACTGCAGTCACGTGGCACTGCATTCACGTGGCACTGCAGTCACATGGCACTGCAGTCACATGGCACTGTAGTCACGTGGCACTGCAGTCAAATGGCATGAACCAATCAGCATTGGGCATGTCAAAAAATCACATACAGCACGGCAGAACCATTTATACATCATGTCAAACCCACCCATACGGCCCGGCACAGCAGCATGATGGTAGGGCATGGCACCATTGTAAATCAGGGGGGAATCGGCACAGGATGGCATTGGGAAAGGCGGGGGGAGAGCCGGGCCTTGTAGGACGGGATGGGGAGGTTTATAGGGCGGTTGAGTGGCATGGAACCAACAGCCAAGGGGAGGAGTTTGGGGGAAGGGAGAGGGAGGGGCTCCTTAGTGGGTGATACGGTCATTTTTTCAGTGGGTAGTACCAGTACATTTCCCACTTATCCGCATCATGCTCTGCGGTTGCTTTTGTGCCCGTACGTAGGGTAGGCCATGGAAGCAGTCGTGGTAGTTGGAAGCAGGGCTCTCGTTATCAGACCAAATTGGTCTGATGGTCTGATTTTCAGACGTAGATTTTCGCTTTCATCCGATCTCTAAGACGATGCTTTTTATTTCGTCTGATCCGTAAGATGACTGATTTTAGTTCATCTGATATTTCAGAGCAAGCTCTAAAGTTAGTCTGAAATTTCAGAGAACGAGTTGTTTTTCGTTTGATACCGATCCCCCTCCCCCCAACCCTCCCTTTCCCCCCCGATCTCTCGCTACTCTACCAGCTCAGCCCCCCCTTCTATGCCCTCGCTCCTCTTCCAGGCCTAGTCCTGTCCAACCCTTCTCCCTCTTTCCCCAACCTGAGGTCTCTCCAGGTCTCGCTCCCAGCCTAGCCCGCTTTCATGCCCCTCCTAATGTCTCGCAGCCCAGCCCCCCCTTCCCTTCGCGTCCCTCCACCTCCACCCACCCTGATCCCTCGCGTCGCAGCCCCTCATTGTCATGTGCGTGCCCCTCAATAGCCACACAGCTGTCTGTCAGCTAGCGAGCTGTCAGCACCGCGCCAGGGGCGCGTTAATTAACAAAACAAGCGTGATTATGTTAGACATGTGTGTTAGCTAAATCAGACTGTGCAAATTGAATCGTATGAAGAATCAGACTAAGCTTTAACATTCGTCCAAAAAATCAGACCAAAAAAATATGCCCGTCTGAACGTCAGACGGAACGGTTTTTTTACTTAGGTATGTCAGACAGACCCAAATCCTAGCAAGAGCCCTGGTTGGAAGAGAAGTTGTAGAGTGCAGGTGGAATTATGAATTCGGTAGTTTTTTTAATAGATTTGTCTTGTGCATCAGAGCGTGAGACACTAGCAGCTTACAGCAAGCAACGTTCAAGGACTTGTGCATTGATACATTGCGAATGCAATCTGCCTTTATACCAGTAACATTGGAAGAACCTTGATAGCACTATTTTTGTTATCAACTTATTGCCATGAGTGGCAGACACTAACTGCAGCTTAGCACTGTATTTCCGGGCCCTGAACGAATATGGTGGATTGTGTAGGTGGAATAATTAGCATCAATGTACCAGATTGCCCTTCTACTTATATCGCATGGCATCGGATTCCATCGGTGTATTGTTATCTTGCTTTCAAGAAAGCGGCGAGTCTTCTCTTAGGGCGTGGAACATCCTCGAAACAGCTACTGTAGATCGATGCGAATCAACGCATCTGCTGAAATGCGACACCGGCCGAGCTCCATCCAAGCTGCTAGTAGAAATAAAAGCGGTTTCACTTGACTACTGGCGATGCACGCGCGTATCGAATAGCGACGCTGCTTTCACGTGATATCAGGCGCTTCTTTTGCCGCGCTCTCTTCGTGGGCTTTCCGATTTCGAAGATTTGAAAGCGCTTCGGCCATGTCGACCGCGATAAACGCGCGTATCGACTACTGGTGACGCTGCTTCAGTGTGATCTCACGGAGCTTCTTTCTAACGATCCCAACATTCATTCTCATCCCCATAATTTCGATCACGGTTGAAAGAGCTTAGGCCATGTCGCCCGCGATAAACGCGGAGGGAAGGAAGCGGTGCGAGAGGATCGGGTGTGACGTGTATTTCACGGACGCAGAAAACGACGACACGAGCTGCTGCTACCACCCAGGGGTAAATACACTCACACGCGCTTTGACTTATGAGGTGATATACCTTCTTAACCAGGGTTAAAGCAGTCGCGCGTGCCTCTTGTCCCGTCTCAAGAGGCTCTGACGGCCTTGTACGCGAGTTTCTGTGTCGTGCTGCTGAATTCACCCTGCGTTATGAGTGATCTGCCCCGTCGCTTGTCTCGGCGCGCACCACTTTCCCCGTCGCATGCTCATCGCATCACATGCGCCGTCGCATGCCCATCGCATCACATGCCCATCGCATCACATGCCCATCGCATCGCATGCCCATCGCATCGCATGCCCATCGCATCGCATGCCCATCGCATCGCATGCCCATCGCATCGTATGCCCATCGCATCACATGTCCATCGCATCACATGGGCCATCGCATCGCATGCCCATCGCATCGCATGCCCATCGCATCGCATGCCCATCGCATCGCATGCCCATCGCATCGCATGCCCATCGCATCACATGCCCATCGCATCACATGCCCATCGCATCACATGCTCCGTCGCAACACCCATCGCACATGCACCGTTCTTGAATCCTGCACCATTTGCCTGATTCACCTCATCATTTCTCTCCAATCTAGGTGACTTTGAGTCGACTCAAAAGTTACCTCATGCACCATTCCTGGATCCTGCACCATTTGCCTATTCACCTCATCGTTTCTATCCAGTCTAGGTGACTTTGGAGTCGACTAAATCTGCACCGTTCCAGTCACCTCAAGCACCGTTCCTGGATCCTGCACCGTTTGCCTAATCACCTCATTATTTTTCTCCAATCTTCCTTCTCCCTTCTTCATGCTCTACTCATTCCACCCCATGCCCCATCGCATCCCCCATCGTACCACATGCCCCATTCTTCTACGCATGTAATCCACCTTTTCTCTATCCGTTCTTCCTCCCCCCCTGCCGACGCCGCATGGGGTGTATGGGTTGAAATTCATGGCGTCACGGCTGGGTTGGCATTCATGGTTTGATCGGCCCACAACAACACATCCTGCTGACATCGGCCCACAACAACACATCCTGTTGACACCAACTCTCGCATCAGCCGGTATGCTCTTCAGTGGATGCACGGATGAGTGGATGATGCGAGCTGAAGAGATGGGCGGTAGATGAAGAGAACTAAGCGAGTGAAGAGGTGAAGAGAGGAAGAGATGGACGGATGATGAGAGATGGCGAGACAAAGAGATGAAGTATATCGAGATGCTTTTATTAAGAAAATCGACGAGATCAGGAGATCGGCAGATGGTCGATGGCAGATGGGCAAATGAGCTGGTGGCATATCTCTAGATTGAGGGATACTAGTTCCCCCTCGTCTCTCTTGACCAATTCTTCTTTCCTTCCCATTCCACGACGGCACGAAGGAGTGGACGTGCTGTTAACAGCGAAGCCTACAGTTCTGACTCACTCTCTGCTCCCGCCCCCTCTCCCCCCTCCGCTCCCACCTCTCAGCCAGTATTCCACGACGGCACAAGGAGTGGTTGTACTGCCACAATCAGCAAAGCCTGAGCGTCTGAGTCACGCCTTCCACACCCACTCCTCCTCCCACCTCTCAGCCAGTATTCCACGACGGCACCAAGGAGTGGAAGTGCTGCCAGCAGCAAAGCCTGCAGTTCTGAGTCACTCTCTGCTCCCTCTCCCTCTCCTCCCACACCCCTTTCTCAGCCAATTTTCCACGACGGCACCAAGGAGTGGATGTGCTGCCACAAGCGAAGCCACGATTTCTCGCTATTCCTCTCCATTCCAGGGTAACGCATCGCATGCAAGCAATCGAATTCACACCAGGGTAATGCATGCGATTCATTCCAGCATACCTTGATACCTGTGCGTGATTTTGTCCTTTCTGCATGCCTGCCCTGCCGCCCTCTTCTCTGCCTACGCGTGTCTCTTTTCATTTTTGCTTTAGAGTAACTATTTGACTGTGCTTGGTATATATTCCCTGTTGATTCACGCAGCATCTTTGTTCCCAACCTTCTGCTCGTGCCTTGCCCCTTCCCTCTGGGTTCCTTTACAGCTGCAAGCGAGGCAAGCACACCACTGAGAAACCCAAACCAATCACCCCTGCAGCACCAGCACCAGCACCACCGACGCCATCCCCTGTTCGAGGAGCAGGAGCGACAGCAGAGGCAGCAACCGCGACAACAGCACCATCAGCAGCAGCAGCAGCAGCAGAAGCATCATCGGTGCAGCAGCAAGCAGCATGCAATCGGTGCTCTCAGGGCTTCTTCTGTTCTGATCACAGTGCACCGCAAGGTGAGTTACATGGGCATGTGTTGTGCTGGTGCATGCGATCATTATCTTGGTATGCTAGGTGACTTGTGTTTCCCTCATAAGACAGTTACTTCAAGAAAATCATTCAATTCTTCTAGCAACGTGGAGTTGCAGCAAACTTCATGCACAATGTGGGAAGTGTTGGGGAATGTGGATATGTGCGGTTGTAGGGAGTTTTTACCTTCAACAGAGGAGGTTTTAGAGACATTTTCAGATGTGCAGTAGTTGATAACAATGCACCTTTTTGATGACACCCAACACGTTCTACCTTAACTCTTATTCTCGGTGTTTGATGATTTACGGGCTGTAAGTTTGAAACAACCATTCTTGTAGCTAAGCACGAATTATGGTTGTTATGAACTTACAGCTCGTAGCTCATCGAACATCGAAAAGAAAAGGTAGGGTAGAGATTGTCGGGTGTTATCGAGGAGGTGCACCGTCACCAACTGCTGCACATCCAAAATTATCCCTAGAACCTCCTATGTTAGATGTTCGATTGCCAGTCGATTCTATTGGCTGTAGAATCCATTCAAATTCGATTGCCACTCGATTCTATTAGCTGTTTGATACCTCAACAACTTCACTCCCTCTCTCCCCTCCCTACACTACACCCTGCAGCTTCATCTGCTGCTGCTCCCCCCCAGCCCTCCCGACCGCCGTCGTGGGACATCAATGTGGAGCGCACGTGCAGCAACAAGGGGTGTGGCGCCAAGTACCGGGAGATTGACAACAGCGATGGCGCCTGCAAGCACCACCCAGGGCCTGCTGTTTTCCGCGACAGAAAGCGAGGGGTGCGTTCAGGGTTGTGGGGGGTATTTGAAGTACAGGGTTTAAGAGGGCGTATTGTGCAGCAACAAGGGGTGTGGCGCCAAGTACCGGGAGATTGACAACAGCGATGGCGCATGCAAGCACCTCCTGGGACCCGCTGTTGACTTTTGAGTCGACTCAAAAGTCATCTGGGACCCGCTGTTTTCCACGACAGAAAGTGAGGGGTGTGTTGAGGGTGGCGGGGTGTGTTGAGGTTGGGGGGTGTGTGTTGAGGTTGGGGGGGGTGTGTTGAGGTTGGGGGGGGTGTGTTGAGGTTGGGGGGTGTGTTGAGGTTGGGGGGGTGTGTTGAGGGTGGTGGCGCGAGTTGAGGGTGCAGGGGTAAGTGCATTTTGAAGGGGTGAGTCCGTTCAGTGAAGGGAGGGGTGACCTTGAACAGGAGGCAAGTGAGGTGCGAGTGTGCGAGGATATGTTTGTTGCGCTGCATGCCTTTGTAAGTGAGGTGTAAGCACAATACTCGGACAAGTTGTGACACTTGGAAAAGAGATAAGCAATGGGTTGGTCACATCATCAAGTGCAGTAAGCACATAAATTGGAGTGTGCGAGTGGATTGCTGGTAAGTAGCCTTAGTCACCCTTCCTCGTCTGCTCATGCTCATGCCCATGCTCTCACCCACCACTCCTTTCCCCACCTCTGCACCTGTTCGCTTTTTCCCAATGGCAATGCTGCAGAGTAGCTGTGAGTAATTTATAGTGAGTTCCTTGCCGTTCCTTCTGTGCCAATCCTGGTGCTTACACCCATCATCGTGCTTCCACCCCTTCATTCCCCCCCGTCCCCTCTCCCTCCATCCATTTCTTCTCCAGTGGCAATGCTTCGGAGTATGTGTGAATGATTTTGATGAGTACCTTTCTGTTTCCTTTCTCCTCTGCCCATCCCGGTGCTCACACCCATCATCATGCTTCCACTCCTCCTACCCGTCCACCAGTCTCTTCTTTTCCAGTGGCAATGCTGCGGAGTATTTGTGAATGATTTTGATGAGTTCATTGCCGTTCCTTCGTTCACAAGCCACCTCCCCCACCTCCCCTCCACCCCCTCTCCTTCCCCCACCCGTGTCTTCTTTTCCAGTGGCAATGCTGCGGCGTATTTGTGAACGATTTTGACGAGTTCATTGCCGTGCTGCCATGTGCTACTGGCTGGCACTCTGACGAGGTGTAGACACAGTATTGCTGTAATTGCTGCCTTTATCAGCCTCATTGGGCTTGAATTGAATCAGATTCGATTTGGGCTGTCTGATTCGTCAGACTTAGTACAAATTTATAGTCCGATTAATCAGACTTGGTCCAAAAAAAAACTCTGAAATTTCAGAGTTCAAGAGTATAAAAGTCTGATTACACAGAGTTCACATTAATAGGGAAGCTGATGGATCAGCCTAAAACGAGGTGGTGATTGCGCTGCGCGACACCGCTGTCACTGTTTCAGCTTGACTGACAGGACTGAACTGTACCTGCAGCGCTCATCGCGGCTGTTAGTGCAGGAATACTAGAGTAGGAAAACGCTCATGGATCAGAGTACACTCTGAGAAAAAGGCTGAAAAATCAGACAAGGCCTACAATTTTTTTTTTTTTTTTCCGAATATTCAGAGTTCACAGCAAAAAGAACTCTGAACTTTCAGAGTTCACTAAAAAAAAGGCTGAAATATCAGACTTTTTAAGGAAAATCAGATAAATTTCTCTGACTTCTGGGGGCCTGATCATACCGTACCGTTCGGAATTTTTTATTATTTTTTCGATTTATTTCATGTCATGTGCCCTTCCTCTGCCATGTTGACTCCATTGTGTGAGGTAACAAAGCTGTGTTGGCCCTTGAAGATGAATTCAGGTACTTGCAGTGCAGTGCGGTGTTGCTGGAACAGTGTGAGGCGATTCTTTTAGGAGATTCACCAATGTTGGCAATGATATGGTTAAGTTCTACAAATTGTGTACCTACAAGGAGTACAACAAATGATCATTTATAATATTATGTGCTGGTTACCACATAGAATCAAACCAAATTACTGATGTGGCACGGCATCCGTAACGAGTAAGGCAGAAATGTCGAGCTGTCCTGTCGGGTGCGAAACAGCCATCAGTCAGGTCCGCCGGTACTGTGCCATGAGCTCAGGTCAACCACAGGCAAGCCATGGCGGCGCTGCCTCCACCAACCAGCTTCGCGAGTCACGCTCATCCATTTCCATCCGCCCACAAATCTTCTTTGCAACACAGGATGCTCCAGCATCCACGCTTGCGCTCGTGCCTTCCTTCAGCAGATTTTACTTAGACACGAGGCAAACCGATACCTTATCTCTAGTGGACGATCCCTTGCCGCTGTCGCAACCATCGCGGCGTGATGAAGCCCGCAGCAGCCCTTTTGCTCGGCGCGCTGCTGCTGCTGACATGTCGCGCGGTCCCACGCGTCGAATGCGTGCTTCTCGCCAAGTCCCAGGGTGCGTGCCGCTGAATCGCGATAACTTGGATTGAATTAGCATTTATGTCTGCTTTATTACGGCCCGGCTCGAGTTCACTCAACCATTCGAGCCGTCAGAACGCGCCGCTTGAGGTCGAAGCTGCTTCCCGCGGCCGCCGCGTGACGCGCCTCGAGATTAGGTTTAACTCACCGAGCCGCATTGTATAGGAGTCAGCGGACAAAGTGCACTGCGCGTCTGAGAGTATGTAACAGCGGACACGTGCACTGCGCGTCCGCGGCATCGGCATCTCTCAATGCCATTGCGGCGTGCGAAAAATGGCATGTGCCATTTTGGGAATCGCAATGGCCATGAGTCGTGATTTGAGTCGACTCAAAACACGAATCATCATGTGTCATGCCACTGCCATGATTCTCGTCAACAGATGAGACACCTGCGTAGTCATAACGACGATCGATTCGTGCGGAGAATAGTAGTGATCGATAGGGACGAGCGTGGAGGAGTGGAAAGGCGAAGGAGAGGGGACATCACAAAAATGTGTGCATCTGGAAATCATCTGACCATTTTTTTTTTTAATGCAGGTTTCCAAAAATCGTTTGACAATCATCCAGGAACCATCTGAATATCAATTGTATAGCATTTTAGTCAGACCAAATGATTTGCGGATGTTTTGGTAATGGTTTCGCAATGTTTCAATGGTTTGTTTGTCAGATGTTAATTGTTGAGACAATAATAAGTTTCCTTAAAAGTGCGTATCACAATCAAAATAGGTTATAGGTCATCGACACAATAGCAATTTTATTTGCATCACCAGATGAACCTACTGAGTAGCTTCACATCAGAGTCTTTGCAGCATGGGACAACATGCACGATGCTAAGAATGCAATCTGCATCTACAACTGCATAGTTGTAGGGGCCCTTCGTGGGCAACAGTCGTTTGCAGCCAGTGTACCGGCAGACACGCTGATCCTCCGTGTAATACTCGATGTAAGCGGCCTTTTTTGCCATGCCATCTTTCACGTAATGGAACAGCATCAAGCAGCGGCCATACCAGCTGGCCCCCTTGCCAGCTGGATTTATGGCTACATCTGAAAAATGCTTTTCAGAAGGGCTTGCTTTGACAAACTGCCCCTTCTCGGTCCACTCCATCCTGTCGTGCGGCGGGATTGCCATGGCAGTGTGCACCTGCGAATAGGCAAGCAGGGATCGCAGCACAACAATGGAAGGTTGTGTTAGGGTTTTTAGGGATGGGGTGCTGACTGGTGCGTCGATACAACAGGATGACATTCCTGGTTTGGGCCCATTACAACGATGCTGCCCGCGTTTAACAGGACTATGTGGCAGTGGCAATTTGCATTGCACTGTGCTCTGTATTGATTCTCACATTGAGCACTTGGTCGCGGATTCCCTCCCTGGCCAGCCGCTTCTTCAAGCAGCCCATCGCTTCATCTCCGTGAACAAGGACATAGCTCCTGAACACATCATCCGTGATCTGCCCCACGGTCATCTTCTTGTGTGTCTTGGTCAGCACCCGACGCCCAAGCATGCAAGCCTGGGTAGGAGGGTGATGGATGCATGGTGTACATGGGGGGCAGCAGGATAGGGGCAGCACTTGAGTACAATGGGGGCAGCAATGAGAGGGAGCAGGGATTAGGGACAAACGGGAGAGTGGAGTGGGGGAATTCGAGAGGTCAAAGGGTGCAGCAAGAGGAGGGAGCATAGGTGGAAAAGTGGAAATCAAGGGAGGGCGAAGGAAAGACAAATGGGCAGGAGGGTTCAGGAAGTGTCATGGATGGACAGATGGGTTTATGGGGGGGAGAACGAGGGGGCTACGCGTTTAGCAGGACGGAAGTTCATGGGTGGACTAGTGGGGGAGCATTGGGGGGCATAACGATGGATAACAGATGGGGCCGGGGGAGGGTCATGGGTGGATAAGTGGGGGAGCATGTGGTGGCAAAACGGGATGTGAAGGGTGGCAGCTAGTGGTAGGTTGATGGGTGGACAAGATGGTGAGCATGTGGATGCAAAACGGGATGTCAAGGGGGGCAGTTGGAGGAAGGGTTAGGGTGGACGACATGGGGAGCATGTCCACACGGAACGGGATGTCAAGGCGGGCAGCTGGAGGAAGGTCCACTAGTTAACAAGTGTGGGAGCAGGGCTTCAAGACGGAATGCCAATGGTTCAGCTTAGCAAGAGGAGGGACCAATTGGGCTCAGGAGTAGAGGCCGTGTTTAGGCCAAAACAATAGGTTATAGAGGGTAGCATGCGGAAGGAGCTTGCGGGGACCTTTGGCGGGCAAGATCGATTTCAATGTGTACACAGGCTCACCTCCTTCATGGCTGTCTCGTAGGTTTTGTCCCCGCCGGAGGCCCTAGACAGCTGTCGAACAACGGCTTGCTCGATATGCTTCTTCACAATGCAATCTTCCACACCCTTCCATTTGGTGCCACGGGAAGGGCGCTTCACTGTTGTCTTGTGGGACTGCTCGTACCGGTTCGACGAGTACTCCTGTGGCAATCCCCGTGCACGGATCGTCGGTGGCAGGTGCGATACAAGATGTACCTTGATAATAAGCCACTTCGACTTCTGGTTGTCGAACGCTAGGACAAGCGCATCGACCATCCTGAATGGGATGTGTTCGGGTGGATTGAAAGATATGGGATTGGGGCATTGGGGTGGTGGGGAGGTGTTTAGAGTGATTAAACAACATACATTGCCCCAACCCCACTCTCAAGTGTTACTACCCTCTCTCATCCCCTCACCCCTCCTCTCATCTCCCCCTCCCCCCCCCCCTCCCTCGTCCCCTCCTTCCCTGTAACTGCCCCTCCATTCCCTCACTCTGGGCCCCTCCTCTCGTCTTTATGCCCCTTCTTTCCCTCTCTCAGCGCATCTCTCCCTTCCTCAGCCCCTCTTTCCCTCTCCCGGCCCCTCTTTCCCTCTCCCGGCCCCTCTTTCCCTCTCCCGGCCCCTCTTTCCCTCTCCCGGCCCCTCTTTCCCTCTCCCGGCCCCTCTTTCCCTCGCTCTGCCCCTGCTTCCCTCACTTTGCCCCCCTTTCCTTATCTTTGCCCTTCTTCCCCCTTTCTCAGCCCCTTATTTCCCACACACGGCCCCTTAATCCCTCCCTTGATCCCTTCAGCCTTACTAACCCTCCTTCTCTGTGCGCAAGGCACACATATCCATTCACACTAGACTTACTCGCAGGAGACCTCCTCCATGCGCTCAAGCGTGGCATCGGTATGATACTCTGCCCAGATAAACTCCTTGTACCATTCCGACATGATCGTGACGGCATGTCGAATATCGGCGCGCTTGGGGAGGTCGATGATGAGGGGCAGCACTTGCATCATGGCACGGTGCTCCGACGCTGAGAAGCAGGCCGTCGTGGTGAAGTATGCCCATGCGGATGGGAGTCACAGCAGAGACGCAGGAGTCACTGCCTTGAGAATCTTGTAGCGTCTGCACGTACGGGATGCAATAAGGGCCGGTTTTGGGGGTGTGAGGCGGGTGGGGTGGGGAAGGGAGGGGGGCTGGGGAGGGTGGGGGGAGCGGGGGGGTTTAGTAGTTAGGTGCATCAGATCGCACCTCATCTCCCCGCTGTCTCTCTCTCAGTGCATCCCTTTCCGTCCTATGCCCCACTTTCCCATACTCTATGCCTCATCATTCCTCTCTCTGCCCTTCGTTCCCTCGCTCCGCCCCATGTTCTCCCCTCTCCGCCCCTCGTTCGCTTTCTCTTCCCCAATTTCCCTCTCACTGC